CATTCATAATTTAAATTCATAAATAATTCAATTTTTTAAAACTTTGTAATATTGTTAATTTTTGCAAAAAGAAAAAAAGATGATTTAAAGAAAGTAAATATTTTAAATTTCTCTTCGTAATTATGATTTTAAAAATATTAACAATTTTTGGCCTTAATGGGTTGGCCCTACTATAGGCAACCGGCTGTCTAAATATCTATTTTTATTTTTTTTCTTTTTTAATATTCTATATTCTTGATCAAATATTGCAAAATTATAAAACATAAATTGATATAAAAGTATTCAAAGAATGAATATTCAATTTTGCTATTTTTTTTTTCAAAAAGGAAAAATTATTAAAATGAAATATTGTAAAAATGGATACTTGACAATATTGAATACTTTTTGAAATAAAATTAACAAGTAAATAAATAAATAATTATTTCAAATAAAGAAATAAACTCATTTGAAATAAAAATGTTACAAAGCTTTGCAAATAGATTCTAAAAATTTTATTCAATGAAATAAATAATTTACAAATAATCTATTTATTAATAAATATCTGATTATCTCAAATAATAATAGAAGATAAGAAAAAAAAAATACAATTTTCATTTAAAATTACCGTATAAATCTTCATTATTTCTATATTTTCTTTTTTAATGAAATTAAATGATCAATATCTAGTAAATATCAAATAAATATTAATTTATTAATTCGATCGCATTATTATTTGAATAATTATTCGAATAAGAATTTATTTCTATAAATAAATTCAATCGTGCTAACTGTCCGGTTGCCTACTCAAGGGGCAAAGATGGCGCCGCACGCCTCGACTCGAAAAATTCGCGTGTTCAGAAACAAAATTGACGCGTGTACCACGCTTCCTTTGAACGAGAACGAAGAAGAAAAGAAACTTGACGAGGGGAAAGGATGATTCGCGCTGAAATCCATTCGCATGCATGCATCGAGTGAACGTGAATGAGCGTGACGAGCGTTGAATTCTTCTTTTGCCGCCTTTGATCTCGAACCGGGTATTGTTCGTGATATATAGTGACAGTTATTCAATTAGACTCCCAGCCGCAAAGAATGCGTCATTTCGCAGTTACGGATTAGTCGGGAATAACCGTCATTGCGTCCTATAATCTGGCATACTGGTAATTGAGAGAGGAAATCTTTTTAATCGTTCCACTATTCAAACGGTTAATTGGTATCTCGTTGGAATTTTTTTTTCTTTTTTTTTTTTATTGACCAAAGTGGAGAGCAGAGAAACATAAAAAGCAAGAAATGTCGTTCAGAACGTCATCGTGATCAAAGATCAGAAAAATTTCGAATTCTCGAATTTTAAAAATTATCGCTATTTTTGTGATTCGAAACATCGTGTGTTAAATTATTGTCTTATTATTGTCTTATCTGTTTATTTTATTTTATTTTGGGAAATTTTTTGAAAGAAAAATTTTCGATTCTTGAAATTCGAATATTTTTGTTATTTTTGCAAAAGCATTGTTAAAATCTACAAAATTATTTATTTATTTAAATATTTTGATATCAAGTATATTTTCATAATCGTAATATATTCTTATTTATGTAAAATTTAAAAAATTTGTGCAAATAGAGTCAAATTTTAATAAAATCCATAAAATAATAATTATTTCTGAAGGATATTAGAAAAAATTTAATTCAAAAATTTAATATATTTTCTTCGAAATTTCTTATGGTTAAACATAACCATTATAATTCAATTTCCTAAAATTCATGTAGCAAGAATTAATTCTAAAAAGATAGTTTCTTTCAAGCTGATCAAAATCAAAAGATTTTAAAAAAGATCAATAATTATTCATATATTATTTGAAAAGTAAAATTTGTATAAATATCTTATATAAAAATATTGTGATACATGAAAATAATAATCTAAATGAGCATTGAGTAATTTTACTAATTTATTACAATAATTAATAATTAATGATTAAATTTGATATAAAAATTTAACTTTTTGCAAAATGATGGCTATTGTTATTATCCTCAAAGAATTCCAAAAATTAAAATTATTTACGATTTTAATTGTTGACAAAATAAATACTTTAAAGAGAGAGAGAGAGAGAGAGAAATAATTTCATATTATAAGTTTCGAAGCAAAATTTAAAAATCAGATTTCGACCCATCTCTATTTTTTTCCACGTTTCATTTTTTTTTCTTTTTCTCTTTCCACGATTATCGAACAGCTAATCCATAATCGTTGCTCGTTTGTATCGACACAAAAATTTCTTCACATTACCGATTTCCAGAAAGATGCAACGTCAAAGCGGTCGATGCGTGAGCGAGTTTTTTCACAGTTTTCAATTCGATGAAACGCGGTTCTAATCATCTCTCTGCTCTCTACGCTGATTAAACTCGAAAAACTCGCGGTAATCTCCATCGCTCGTCCCTTAATTGCTCGATTTTTGAGATGATGTTCCGCCCTCGTGAGAAATTGCAACGGTTAAATCGATTGCAAAATTGCATCTGTATCTTCAAACTCGAATTTTTGCAATATTATTATCGAGACTACGAGATCAAAGAATGTGGTTCAGTCAAAAAGTATATTTCATTTTTAAAGTTTTTATTATCCTGTATCCGAGTACTCGAACTACATATAATCGATAAAAGTGATGTAGTGAAAAATAGTAACATCAATTGATCCAGATTTATTTAGAGGTTTAATTTATTCTTTAATTCATTGGAATACAGAGTGTTAATGTGTGACATTTTTAGAGGATCGATTTTAAAAGTCAAAACAAAAATGTTATTTGAATTGAAATTTGTATTAAATAAAGTGAGATAAAGATAGATGAAGGATGGATATCTCTTTTCTGTATTTCACTTTATCTAATTCGAAATTCAATTGCTTACAACTTAGTAAATAAGCATATATATTTTTATTATTTAATCAATTATTTTATTTGTTTTGGAATCTAGAAGTGAGCCTTCAAAAGTGTCCTATGAATATATATATCGTTTTTATATAAAGAAGGAAAAGAAATAAGTCACGTATTGACATTGTATTGATCTAAACAAGTTAAATTTTCTTAAAAAGTTTGAAATCATACATTTTTGATTCTCGAATGTGTAAATTATTGACTGATTTTATTCGCTATATTTGTTCCACAGAGACATATATAACTCAAAGAATCGAATATGAATATAAATTTTCCAATTGTGAAAGTTTTCTTAATACTATAGAATTTACATCATCCATTTTTTGTTATCTGAATATCGTATATACTCGGATGTTAAGATAATAAAATCTTGTCGAGTATTCATATCTAAATTGTATCGATATTCAAGTATTCGGATCCAAATTAATACTAGAACTACCGAATCAAGTCAAATTCATTTCACATATATTATTTTTACAGATATTAAATGTGCAATTTCTAACAATATTAATATTAATTTTATATCTGTATATTTGATTATCTTTATAACATTATCTTAATTTGAATCAAATATGTATTTATATATAAAATATTCTACTTAAGTCGATAGTTTTAGTATCTAGTATCCGAGTATTTGAATAAATTCGAATACTCGGATACCCGTAGATCCGACCTATACGATAAAAGCCCTAATTTTGACACGATTATGTTGATGCTCCTTGAAAAAGAGCGTGAAAGTGTAGAGAATTGCATGTCGTACCGTTTAGAAGATTCGATCGGATCTAAGTAACGGAATGGCACGCGCTTGTTTGGAACGGTGCATTGGCACACGAGACGAGGAGCCTTTATTAGAGAGTCACGTTAGTCCCCTAGTCTAGCCTAGAGAGCCCGCTTCTTATTAGACACGCGAAACACTATAAGTAGATGTACACGGTGATGCGTTGTGTGTGGAAAAAATGATAAATTTGTAATTATAATTTGATGGAAGTGAAAAAAAAAAAAAAAAAAAAGAAGAAGAAGGTGAAAATAAACCAAAAGATCGGTCTCAATGTATAGAGAAAGATAAATATGCAATTTGAAACAGGATTGGATACTTTTTATTTGAAATGAATATAAAACGAATAAAAAGAACAAATAATTACTTCATATAAATAAATAAACTTGTTTTTATAAACTAGTATATACATAAAGAAGACAAGCTTTATCTTATTGTTAGATCAAGGATTATAAATTTAAAATTATCTGAAATATCAATAAAAAATATCTACAAGATTACTATAAATATTCAAAAATTTAAATTTAACTTGATTCTTCAAGTGAAAATAAGATAAAAATAAAAAAAAAAACATCAAGTAGTAGTAGAGTTAAGATCTTATTACAATTATTAATAGAATCATTCTATTACAGGAAAATATTTAATGAAATCAAGTAACGAATAAAATTACATCAAATACATTATTATACAAATAGTATCATTTAAGAGAAATAACAGATCAATAGTGTTTGTGGAATCACGATTCCTATTTGATTGTCAAAGTCAAAGTACATTGATCACGGTAGTCAATATTTGAATGTGTATTTACAATAGGGACTGTTTGTGTTCACTGTATTTTTTTTAACTATTGATGGCTCGCTAAACCTTCTTTAAATTGGTAGATCTTCTATTAATAATTGTAATCGGTTAAATAAGCAAAAAGAGTTAAGCTTGCAAATCAGATTTCATTGAAATATTTCTGTAATATATCCTGACTATAAAAAACGAGAATAATAAATTTCAACAAGATTCGTTCAACAGTGTCCAATTCTGATTTGGAATAAGCAAAGAAAATTTAACAATCCGAATTAAACTAATTGAATAGTTGTAAACTGGTCTTTCCGATTATGTCTATTTACACGACCATAGAGCACACAGAAAATCATCCGTGTATATCTACATAGGAGCCTCCAGTACCGCATAAGTAGCGCCACACTCGACTCGACACGGCAAACTCACACAAGATAGAAACACCACACCTAGCACCGAGTTTTCTAGACGAGGAACGAAGCTATCGACGTACGAGCCAGTTGCTGACCGCGAATGAAACCGTTCGTTTCCCTCTGCTTCAGGCCCGTGGGAGTCTGGGGGAAGATCGTGGGCTCTTTGTGCGCGATCGCCGGTGTGTTGACGATCGCCCTGCCTGTGCCCGTCATTGTCTCCAACTTCAACTACTTCTATCATCGTGAGACTGATCAGGAAGAAATGCAGTCGCAGAACTTCAATCACGTGACCAGCTGCCCGTATCTTCCTGGTACGAGTTCGTATTTCCTTTTTTCGACACAATTTCCAACCTAACCTAAAAAAGAATTTCACTGTACAGTACGTAGTAATGCATCCTGGCCACAGCACGATGTGTCGCTTAATGAACAAAATTGATAAATTTGAAATATGTTATGAAAAAATTTGTGTGAATCATGAAATATTAGTAATAAAAAAATGTAGTTTGTAATTGTTGTTCGTTGCTTTATATTTGCTTTCAATTATAGTACTATTCTATTATATTAAAAATTATATAATTTACAAATTTAGTTTTAGTTAGAACACTCGTGTTACGATTTAGACTGATTAGCCAACTTGCAAAGCGGATTAGGTTAGATAGATAGATTAGATTACATTAGATTAAGTTGATTCAGATATATTAAGAATTCTGTCTCGATATGAGATAAAATAAATTGAAATCATATTTTTTCTTACTTTATATTCTGATCAAAATTTTACTTTACAAGTTGCCCATTCTAATCCCTCATTAAAAGTGTCTTTTACGAAGAGAAACTGTCAAACTGTGTCAAACTGTATTACCTTCTCTCTCTCTCTTACCTCATGTCGAAACAAAATTCTTGACATAGATCCTGCTTCACAAGTTGGTCAGTTTCAGTTCTGTGGTTAGGATATAAGATACTACTTAGACAAGTTTCTTACGAACTATGCTCGATAGTTTATTCGCAAAGAATATTGCTAACAGGTAGTAAAGCCAACAACTTTATTAACTTTATTAAGAGAAAATTTCGTCAAGATGAAAGATATTTCTATACATATCTACAGTTTCCAAACTTCGTGGCTTTAGGATTAAACACGTGTTGTGTGTTGCTCGATTGTTATCTATGCCGATAAACTGCACCGATTAATGTTACTCCGTGAAAGAATTTGAATTTTAAAAAAGGGAGGTTTTTTAACAGGACAAAGTGTTGTTTGCCAAAGGCATCAGTCATGGGTCACGAAGGCTTCCAACGTCCTGTGTCGCGTGCAAAAATCTTTCTTCCTTGTAATTTAATAATTCGTCGCTTAACAACATACTTGGTAAACAGCCCTTATAATTCACGCAAAATGTTATTTACAGAAGGGATTTAGTAGTCCGTTTGCAAAATCTGAAGTGAAAAGATTCCTTAGTTATTACATGGAATGATTTGAAAACGATTCGTTCGATGAAAAGATATAAATACATAGAAAAAGAGATTAGAAGGGTTGCATTAACAATCCTCAAGATTTATTAATAGTATAGAGTGGGGTAGTTATTGTTGTTTTTGTTAAATAGAAAATGCAATGTGCCAACACATAATATTAGATTCAAATCGATTTAAAGACAATTTATGATCAATCGTAAAATGGAAAAGTTATTATATAATTAATAATAATTTAATTTTTATGAACAGAGAAGTAAGTGGGATAAAACGAGATAGATGAATAGAACAAGATAGATGTTATTGTTTTTATAAAATAAGAAATATGGTATAGAAATAACATATAATATCAGGTTCAGGTCGATTTAAAGACTTTTTTTTGTAAATAAAAAAAGTTATATGTGATTAAGAATCCTCAAGATTTGTATTTTTTTTTTTCAAATGAGAAATTAGTAAATATGAAATTAGCTCACAATACTAGATTCAAATTAATTTCGATAACCAATTAAAATAAAATAAAAATTATTAAAATAAATAATTATTAAAATAAATAATTAAAATAGAATTCATGACATTAATTTGCTTTTGGATTTTTATTTACAAAAAAATTTATTATTAAAGAATGATCAAAGATAGTAAATAAAGGATAGACCAAATTAATCTTATATAAAATATTTTACTTCTTTCTTTTATTATTTCTCAAATATCTACAAAAAAATTTATTTGACATAATAAATGTATAGACAAATATTAAGACAAAAACAATGGACAATATAAAAAGAATTTAAAACAAAAGGATATTTTTTTAAAAAAGCACAAACTAAACATTCATAATTTTTTTGTCCATAAAAAAAATTTTTAATTTCATAATTATAGAATTTATCTAGCTTAAGAATAGGACAAAACGAAATTTTAATAATCTTGAAAGATCTTATTCTCATTAATAATTATTCTTTCAAAATCAAAAATTTATTGATAGTTCTCTTTTACTTTACAATCTTTTTTTTTTTTTTCAAGAAAAAAAATTTCTTTAGTACTCCATTTAACCCTACTTTCCTCTACACGATTGTGATTACATTTTCAAGTTGTCCACTGTTCAATATCGCGTGTCTATATCCCCGATAAAAGGTAGTTTACCGTAACTTTAATCGGCTTAGACTCAAGCTCGCTGCTCGGTCAATTTTTCACATCTTCCTTGATGAGTCACGATTTGCGGACATCCGAGGGGGATGTTGAACGATTAAAGGAAAATTGATAGTTCGGAAAAAAAAAAAAAAGAAGCTCGATCGGGTAAAGCTCTTCAAGTATTCACTCTTGGGGGATTATCTAGAAAGCATGCATTGGTGACTTGGTATTCGAGTTTCACGGTGTAATGGTTTTCGAAATGAGAGATGACGGATGAAGGAAGTCGTCGAACTCTGTCTCGTCTGGTTCACAGGTCAACACTTGAAGAAGAGCTCGATGTCAGAATCGTCGTCGGAGATAATGGAGTTGGAAGAGGGCATATTGCTCACTCATCCCGAGATTACGAAGAAGCCCAACTGCAACCCTCGCCATAATAACAATATTAATCCAGCCTGTATGAGCATCGAGACTGACGTCTGACTACTAGGTTGGTACATTAATTGATCTCTGGTCATGAGAAATTTCTCCCACGATAATATTAGAGGATAAACTTCGTCGAAGCGATACTTTTTTTGATACTTTCTAAACAAATAAGAGAAATAATATTTTAAAATATATAACAATAAAATTTTATAAATATATTTGAAATAAGAACGAATGTAATTTAAACAAGCAAAATTCGCACCATTGAAACTGTTATACTGTTTTCGGTTCTCTAAGAAAGTAATTGTATTAACCACTTTTATACAAAATAAAAAAAAAATATAAACATGTAAAGGAGTGATGCTTGGACAAGTTCATAGTATTAGAAATTCTACTAGTATAAATTCTCTAGTATAGCAATTATGTGAAAATCTAAAGAATTTGATTTAGGAAAAGCACGAAGAGGAGAATGCCATCTTGAAAAAGGTTAAGTTTTTAGGTTAGAAATACAAACTATGCTTTGCATCCTGATACTTTTATAAAAATATTATACGATAAAAGTTGAATAACTGCTCGACACGATATATAAAATGTTTTTTATTTTTTTTATTTTTTTTTACCTTCAACAATCCTCTTTCAGGAAGCAATTATTCAATTTTTATCGTATCACGAATAAAGTGCATCTCGATCAAATTCGTTCGAAGAAAAAAAATGGCGACATTGAAGATAATTCGTGTGATTGCAGTGAAGGAGACTGTGGCAACGTGGTGGCCAATGCTGGGACATTTATCGAAGAACAGCTACAGCTTCCTACGATGCCTGACGTAGGCCTCCTTCACACGTCGTCGTAGTCGCGCTAGCTGCGATCGCTAACGATAGCGCGTGTACGCATGCGCGCTAGCTGTTAGCTCGCACGCGGCTGCGCATGCGCGCGCGCGCACCAACCCGCCGTCTGTCCATAAATTTGTCAATACGAGGGGTGCTTCCAATCCATTTTACCACGTTTGTCAACGAGACAAGAAGAAGAAGAAGAAAAAAAAAAGGACGTGATGAAAAAACGAGGGAATTCAACGACCAAGAATCGGCTGGCTGATAATCAGTGTAATTTTTTTCCATCAGAATTCGAGAGTGAGTTCGAAAAAAATAATAACGAGAGAAGAATACGAAGCAGGGATGTGGAAAACGTCAAGGGACGACGTTAAACGACGTAACTATATATATATATATATACATATATATATATAGGGGCCGAAATGAAGGGCGAAAAAAAAGTGAAAAGTAAACGAGAAAAGAGGTGGCAACGAGAGTTTCGACCGAGAGGAACCGTGTGTCGAAAAATATCGGGACAGCCGTTTCAAAGGTGTTTACGGTATAAACGCACCCCACGTAGGGACCTACATGCTAATAAGGGGATGGATCGGCATGTTTCAGTCGCTTGTCCACTTCCCACACCACCGACTCCAGTGTTCAATACAAATGATAACAAATAAATAAAAAAATAAAAAAAATAACAAATAAACGGTATAAAAAAAACGAAACGAAAGGGGGGGAAGGGGAAGAAGAGTGAAGACGGTTTCGCGAACTCTAAAAAATAAAAATAAATAAATTTAAAAAAAAATTAAAAATAAAACGAAAAAAAAGTATATAAGAGAACGTCGTCGAGCCTTACCCCCCACCGATGTTCGCGCAAATGGCCGGCTAACAATGGCGGATCGAAGGGGGTATCCAGCCGGCAACGAAACCAGGGGAATCGTACCAGATAATACTAATTAATTATTATCGATGTAAATTATATCGAGGTAGGCGAAGGTACGCTAAACAAACAAACAAACAAACAAAAAAAAAATAATTAAATAAAATATTCGTTTTAATGAATTATAACACTGCGCGAAAACGGACGAAGCCACGATCGAGCGGAAGAGGAGGACAAAATGATGGAGGAGAGAAAGAGAAAGAGAAAGAGAGAGACAGAAAGACAGAGAGAGAAAGAAACGGAAGGAAAAATGGCGATGGTGCTCGCGGTGAGAGGACGGACTTACGGAAGATAATATCGTACGTGTTGCACGGCGAGTAGCTAACAAGTGTGTCTTGCAGCGTAGAGACAAGTTTCCTTTTTTTTTTTTCACTATGAATAAAATACTCAAAGTAAGTCGGAATTATATACTGTATATTCGTATATTTCGAACACCGAGAGACCATTTGGAATGCAATTCGTTTTTCGGGGTGTAACACCAACATGTACTCCCATAATCCATAACACGTAAACATTTATACAAAACTCATACGTACACACACAGGATACACACGAAATCCACGACCAACACAAACAAAAAAAATATTATATACGATATTTCAAAGGGATAGGCGTGCGTTGCTCTCGTCGAACGGTTAAGTAGCGGTAGCCGTCGATCGTGCACGAATCACGGAGTTACATATACGATGTAAGTCGAGTTTTAGACAACATCGGTGCTTTCCAAAGACGAGTGTAAAAATTTTATGGAGAAAATATGTTATCGTCGAGTTATTTCGAAAAAAAAAAAAAAAAAGAAAAAGAAAAAAAAGAATGGAATGGAAAGTTGCACCTTTGTTCCCTAAGACTTATGACGTATTGTATGTATCTATTTCCATAAGTGCACGCTCGAGCGCGAATCGGAGAACGAGTCGATCCAGGCTCCGAGCTCGAAACCAAAATCGAGAAATAAAATAAAAAAAAATTCTTCGAAACGAGCCGAACGAATTCCGTTTTTCTTTTTGTCGCGAGATGACGCGATAAGAATTGGAAAAAAAAAAAAGAAAAAAAGTTGCACGATGTGATAAGTTTGCGGGGGGAAAGAAAAAAGAGGAAAGCGGTGGCACGGTGAGCCGAAAGCCGAAGCTGGCAAGATTTGCGAGAGTTGCGTTCAATGGCCGGAAAGGTGTCTGCCGATGGCGCGTACAACCGTGTTCATGCTCCCGATCTCGCGACGAATGCCACGAATTACGCGATATTTTCGGTCCTTTTGTTCGCGTGATTAATTCAAACTCGATACACAGAGAGAGAGAGAGAGAGAGAGAGAGAGAGAGAGAGAGAGAGAGAGAAAGGGAGCGAGAGAGAAAGTTCGAGTAGTAGCGAAAGCAGTATCACGCAGAGATTCAGTTTTAGTGAGGTTGATTTCGCGAATGTTTCGAGAGCGAGATCAGAGACGATCATGAAGAATTCGATTTTGCAATAAAAGTGGAGAAAGAGATATGGAGGGATGTCAAGAAATTTTCAAGTAACGAGTATTAATCCTTTGCACTCGATTGTCGTTGGTTTCGTACGAAGGGATTCGAACGAAGAGGTAAAATTAATGGATAAGTATGTAGGGTATCTTGGCAGATGATAGATTCTAGATGAAAAAAAAAAATTAGTAATAGTTTTAATAAAATATTATTATGGAGTAAAATTTATTCATTTGAGAAAATAAAATTTGAGTATAACTACATTATTAAAGAATTTATCTTGATACATTTTATATTAATATGTTTATTTTGATTATGAATTATTTTTTATAGTAAGTTTGGTAAGGAATTTCAAACTTTAAATTAGTTAAATTAAAACTAAATTTAGACTCCATTCTTTGATAAGTGCAAATTGTTTTATAACCATATTTTGAGTAGATTTTGATACAGATTATTATTGTTTATATAATAATTAATATTACCGTTATCTATTATTAATTTATGTTTGTTTATAATAGATTTATAAATAAAAATTAAAAATATCATTTTTAAAATTTACTTTATCAATGCTGATTATTGTATTTAGAGCACGTTTGAAATGAAATTTGAAATATTATTTAAAACATAACTATTATTTCATAATTATATTACATAAACATAATTATTATTTCATAATTATTTCATAATTATTTGGAATAATTATATGAAATAATTATTCTGAACAATGTAAAATATTGTTTCAAACGATTTTATTTCAAACTTATGTTTAAATATAATAATCTGCATTAATAAAGTAAATTTTAAATAAAGTAAATTTATTCATAATTTAGTAGAAATAATGCTTTTAAAATCTAATAATTTAGAATTATTTTAACAATTATTTTTTAATTTGGATTAGGAAATAAATTTCTATTATTTCTATTACTTTGAATGAATTAATATTATATATTTATAAATGAAATGAATGTAAATAAATTTCAATATATTGATTATATGTTATCATTAATGGATTGATAATTGAAATTGGTAATTGAAACTAAATGATACAATATAGAAAGATAAATTATTTTATTATATCAAATACAAAACCATGCTATTAGAATTGTAGATAAAATAAAGAAATAGTAATAAATGATATATCTGTATCAAGATTAATCATGATGTAGTTATATATATATATATATACACATACATATTTCTAAAAATGAAATGAGTTTTTCAAATTGAAAAATTTCATTCTATATTTTCAATATATTTATTTATTAAATAAATAATTCATTTATTAATTCTCAGATATTTTGTATTGATATTTTTTTATGAGTTAGAATTTCAAGCAAAAGTTTTTAGAACTTATATTTTCAAAGACTAATTTTCTCTTTTTTTTTTTTATTTTTATCCAGAAATTTCAACTGATCCTGTTAGTACCTTTTACTATTTAATTATTTTCAAAAGTTTTCTTCATTTTTGTGCTAAATATATTTCGAATTGTTAATTTCTTACAATAAAAAAATATTTTTTTACATGTATATATATTGTTTTTTTTCTATTTTATATAAATGAATTCATTTTGTAAATAAGAAATAACGATAATAATAAAAGTGATCTGAGTGCAAATGGTTAAAATTTAAATAAGATTTTTCGATTATGTGTTCAATTATAAAATTAAATATAGAATGATAATTGCAAATAAATGCCAAATCGCGAAATAATATACATAATGAATATTCGTATCATTACAAATATGCTTCTTTTGAATAATCAATTAAAATAAAATTAAAATATTCGGTAAATAAAATTCAATATGAAAGTTGAAAGAATTCAATATGAAAAATTTAATTTCATTTCATGACTTTATTTATTCTAGATCAATATTAAAAATCAATATTATCTTTTTCTTTGTGTATCTTCCTTTTTCTTTATTTTATTATTATTTTAAAATAATATGAAATATGAAGAATATAATTAATAGAAACTGAAAAAGAGTTAAAGTGGAACAAAAAAATTATGATTATTTTTTAGTAATAATAAAATTTATCTTCATTTCACATTTATTGCAAAGAAAATAATTTCCGTGAAATTAATTTTCGAGATATGACAAGAATTTTGAAATTTCAATTTTTTGTTTTTTTTTTAAATTTGTTTGTTTTTAATTCTTATTTTTTGATATTTTTTCTTTGTCTTATATTTTAAAATGGACATATAAAATAATTTTCTAACTTTTTAAGATTTGTAATATTTATTTTATTATTATAAAAAAAAACTTTTGCTCATTATTAGAAATCATAAATAACAAAAAAAAAAAGAATTGTCTTTTTTTCGTTTCACTCTAAATAATTAGCCGCAAAAGAATTATCTTTATTTCTGTTTTATGGAATAACATCCAAATAAAAGAGAAATTAAAAAAGATAGAAGAGAAATTGAGAAAGAAGTACATATAAGAATATGAAAGGGAATGCAGAAAGAAAAAGATATAACAAAATCGCGTGTTGAATCAATGAAAAACGAATTGGCAAGCCGAATCGGTGCTCGACAGAACACGCTTTCTCTTATCTCTTCGCTGTCGTCTCGATGTTTCGCCTCTTTCCCACAATGGAGGAAAAAAAAAGCGCATCACAAAATCGCAAAGACTGCCATTTTACCATTCTCAGTAAAAAATAATAATAAAAAAAAAAATAAAATAAAATAAAATAAACGAAAGAAAAAAGAAATGAACATCGCGTAACCGATATCCACGATTATTTCGAGAAATATCGTCCATGCTCGAACATTTTTCCGCTTAGGTCGACCCTTCGAACTGCCGCATGTCGTACAACGGACCTTAATTTTCTCGCGATCGAACGTTTTGAGAAGATTCGCGACGCCATTACGTATGCCGCGATACAGAATTCATCGATTCGCCATCGAAAACTTAAAATTCGACAAATTTTTTGCGCGAACGTGAAATCAGAAACGTCGATCCGACGAGAGTGACAAATAAACATGGCGTTTCGATTCCATTCCAAAAGTATTAATAAAACGTGAAAAGGAATCGCGAAGTTTATTTTTCTTTTTCTCGGTGAGTCGATTGCGAATTAAGGAATTTCTCTCTCCAATATTGAAAAAGTTTCGGCTGCCGTTGTACGTACTAGGTGATGGGCGATTAATTCTAAAAAACTGATAAACAAACACATCTCTTCGAGAAATCGGAACGCGACCCGCACGTATCCCCATACGGATAAAATCGACTACGATGAAGGAGGAAGTCTGACGTTGCAAAACACAAAAAGTGAATTACATATATTAGAGATTAAAATTAAGTATTTAAAAGAAAAAAAAAAAGAAAATATACGTATATATATACATATATGTATGTCGTGTATGTATATATGTATATTGTAAACGCGCGATCTAGCAGAAGAAAAATGAACAAAGTAATAAGACGAACAAGTATGCAAACAAAAAGAAAAAAAAATGCGATTTCATTATTCGATTTATTATTACGTCTTAGATGCGAGTTTTATCGAGGAATAATCCATCTATCTTTTATTAGAAGAAACGAGCAAAAAAAAAAAGGGTTAGTCGAAGCAAGATTTTGAGGTTATGCGAGAGAGGGAGAGAACAAAGAGGAGAAAATGAAAGTATAATTGTACATCGTATGTTTTTAAAGGAAAAATCGATGAGCGTGTGTCGATAATGCGAGAGTGGAAGTGAACGAGAGTACGCGTGAAAATGTTCGAATGAAAGATTCGAACGAATGGGAGGAACGATGGACGAGACAGATTAAAAAAAAAAAAAAAGAAACAACAATATATACTGAGATTTACGTTACGCGCCTTTATTACCGAAATACTTGAACTTTTCGCCTCGCTAATTTAGTTAGAAAAAGGAAAATTTTAAGACGCGCATTAAAATTAATAACAGCCTAGTTAAATCCAACAAGGAGGAAAATCCAATAAGTTGAAAAAAAAAAAAAGAAATATATGCAAAATAATAACGCGCGAAAGGTAATAAATTTATTACTATTTAAATTAGTAACTACCGTTATGGATCTATTAACTAAATCTACTACTTACTATTACTATTATTACCACTACTGATACTACTTACCAATAAATACCGCTACTGCTACTGCTACTACTGTTACTATTACCACCGTTACTACCGCTATCTGCAAATACTATCACCACCGCAAACTATTACTACTACTACTACTATCACGAATAATTTATCACACGAACGACGACTATCCTTATCCACTACAACCATCACTACTAGTACCTACTATAGCTACTATAATTACTACTATTACTATTACTACTACCGCTATTACTACCACTATTGCTACTACAACCGCTATTACTACTATTACTAC